AAAAAAAAAAAAAAAAAAAAAAAAAAAAAAAAAAAAAAAAAAAAAAAAAAAAAAAAAAAAAAAAAACTCTGAAGCTAGTTTGCCACATAACTTCTCCCTTCCCTAGCCTCCTCCAATATGAATCATCAAATGATCAACATCTTCCTCATGTCTCGAACAGACACAGAGAAAAAATCTTAACATTCCCAAGATAGAAGAAAATAGCGCAAAAGAGGGAAAAAGGAAAGACAAAATGAAGAGAATAGGAAAGACAAAATAAAGAGAATCTCCTAGATGGATTGGAGGGATAAAATTTGAATGTCCCTTCTCCTTACAATCACATGATGGTCTACAACGATCCTTCCAAAGACAGAGTGCACAGGAATCAGAAACTGTGCTAGTTCAATTAGCAAGAAATTCATAAGCAAGTCATGCTTAAAGACTCCATCCTTCAACTTTGACAACATGATACTCATGGAATGGACCATTTTCTTCCATCTTACATTCGAGCAACTCTTTTAAGACATATTTCCCTCTTGATCATGCCCATTTACGCATCATGAAACCAAAAACTGTTGCATTAACCATATTGAAGGAATAATCTGTGTGTGTGTGTACGTGGGTTAGAGAAAGAGAATATGAATGAAGAGAGGTATCATTCAACTTAACAAAAGTATATTTCAGCCTGACATATATTTACCCATTCCACCTCTCATCAGCTGGATCGAAGCCTAACAACATAATATTAAAAAAATTCTTCAAATAAATACTTGAATTCATCATACCAGTAATAGCAGTAGATCCTTCCATTTGTCGCAAGATCAGAGCCCTGCAGTCCACTCTGAAAAACAAATAGTTGGTTAACTGAAAAATTTGTGTTACCAACCAAACTCATTGACATAGCCTATGTGTATACAGAGGCAGCATCTTTCAACGAAGTCAATGAAGTTCTCTTTCTTACTATCCCTTTGGATAACAATGTTTACCTGTTACAATGCTACAAGGAATCATGTCATTGATTGCAAAACAACATCCACCAACAAGAAGTCTTGATACTACCAAAGAATTCAAGAATTGTAACTAGGCTGTCACAAAGTAAACAGCACTGAAATTTCTACCAGTCTATAAATTATAATACTTTCCCATGTGATCTATTTTAAGACACGAGGTGCGAAAACTTCATGGTTATTTGGATGGTGGCTGAAACAGTTGTAGAAAAATGAAGGTATGCAATAAGAGACGCTAAAAGACCATCACTTGGTCTGCTGTGGACTTTATAATAAAGCAAGCCAAAAATGTTCCTAGTATTCATATGGGAGCATCGTGAAGATGACTCTTCTCATACAAGCCAATAAATTGATCGGCCACAGCCCACACAATGGCCTGCCCTGGTGGAATCCTCATGAGTCGGGGCAGCAGCCCTTTCCATAAAGTAAAAAGTCCCTCCTCTGCGTATATAGTTCTGATAGCATGGAACATGCCTTTGTACTTGAGTTCACCTGTGCCTCGGCTCTGGGCCATTAACCTAGTTTTCACAACATCAAAAGGACCAGTGCATAAAGGGCCTGCTGTGCCTGCTAGGAATCCCGATACCATTGACTGCCATGGCTGAAGGACTTTTCCATCCCCTTCATGTCTGTTCCAAAGAACAACATCAAAAGCATTCTTGGCAGTAAACATGGCAGCCTGGTTTGTACCATTCCGCATAACAGTTGGAGCAGCACCTGCCCAAAGCCCTAGAAGGCCTTCTTCTCGAATAATCATTCGAGCACAGTGCACTGGACCCTTGTACTTAAGGAGCTCAGGACTCAGTCCTTTCTGCTGCTGCAATCTAATTTTCACCACCTACACCAGCAATATCCGCACCAATATGTTAGTCATCCCACACTTTTTTCCTATTGAACATACATAAATAGGGTGCAAGTTGAAGCTAAACAAACTGACAAAACAAATCAACTCAGGCCAAAACGCTTACACCTTATTACATAATTGACCAGGAAAAATCTCTTTAAATGACCAGCACAGTTGCAGTGTATCAACAAAAAGCAAGAAAATTAATATTTCATTCTCTGAGTCAATCAGTTCTTCTAATTCAAACCTTTGAACTTGAATCTAACTCCCCAACATCTTTTATTAGCTACATCATTATCTTGAGACCTTCTGTACATTGACTCTGAAAAGTCCACATGACTTTACTTTTAGTTTTACCCCAAAAGTCTCATTCTAGTAAAAATAGTTGTCTACCACTTATAAAACCTAGATCTTCCCCTTCCCTATCAAATTTGTAACATTGGTTCGTTTCAGATATTTATTTATTATTATTATTATTTTTTTATCCTTTGTAATGCATATTAGATTAATCCATAGATCATACCAATCAAATCCCTTCTTTCAAAATTGAAATGTGAGATTTTGGTTGCAATCCCAATAACATTGATGACTTTCCATTTAGCATTCTCCACTTCCCTAATTTTGTTGCTAAATAAACCCAAATGAAAGCAACGTTGAAAATGGTGAAGAAGCTGATATTTTCTAAAAGCTAGAACATGCTTGAGTAACAACAACTCTTAAAAGGTTCTCACTATAGTTTTTTTTTTTTTCTTGTAATAATTTTGTTACTGTAAATTAAAAGAATGTAAGAATAAATGCTTATATTAAAGATCTCATAACAAAGAATCAACCAACAAATGGTGTTTGGTGGAGTAAATGAAGTGGACAAAGTTTCTACAGTCCAAATCAAACTTCGTCCAACTATATACCTATTCTGTCTTTCTATGACTTCGACTATGATAATAATTTTTTTTAATGTTGTGAACTTAGAAACGTGAAATTTCTAAATGTAAAAAGGCTAAATCATTGTTATATAGAATATACTAAAATGCGAAAAGAGCACAAAGAATAACAGAGCCCTCTGACCCTAATGAAAGCTAATTAATTCATTTTCGTAATGTTAAAAGGGCCAAACACTGTCCATCACCAGTCCCAACCAACCAACAAGCAAGTAATATATTATATTTATCCTACTCACCCGAAAAAGGCAATGCCAGCGCCTTATTTGGAATCTGGTTTCGCCATTAATGAAACCCAAGTTTTTCCGTTGAAAACAAAGCATATGAGCGTTTAAAATTGATGAAGTACACCGCCATTAAAGAATCAGCAAAATGTGTTTATATTATTATATTATCAGTCCTGTCGGCGCCAACTATCGTCCACGACAAGGTTTCCGATTGTTGAAGAGAACCAGTGGCCTCAACTAAACCTAGAGACCAACATTCAGATCTAACGATTATCAATTTATAATTCTACAAATAAATTTCATAACCTCCCATCTTGGGGAAAATTAACTGGTTAGGCGTCCTTCCTCAGGAGATAATCTCGAATTCAATAGTCTAAAAAAGATAAATAATCATGATTCCATAACCAAATCCGTCGAATATGAAATTGAAAGTTGAATTGCAGCAGATTATTTGACATTGAGAGAGAGAGAGAGATGCAAACTGACCTCAAATGGAGTAACAATGACGAGAGCCTCCAAAACCCCGGCACCGAATCCAGAAACCAGACGAGCGTGATTGCTAAGCTTTCCAGTCTCCGAATCCTTAAACGCGGACTGAAGCACTGCATTGGACCCCATGCGAAGCGCATATTTCATGGTCAGGTGAGTAGCGAACGGAGTCAATCCCTTCCAAAGAGCCCGAACTCCTTCCGTTTGCGTAACCGTGGCTCCACAGTGGACAATCCCCTTGTAAGCCCCGGTCCGATCGAGCTGCAACCTAGTCTTGATAACATCAATCGGCTGTAGACAACAGGCCTCCATCACCCCTCCGAGAGAACCAGAGATCGCCTTCATGTATGGAGGAATCGATTTCTTCGATCTCTGTTCCGTAGTCGACCGACGAGCTTCCTGGTTCTCCATTTTCTCGGTCTTGAAACCCAGAATCGTTGCTCTTTGCTCGTCCACCTTCCTCTCGTTGTGTTGTTACTGAAGTTCGACCACCATTTGGGTCTTTTATGCTTGATGCTTTGCTTAAGCTCTCGGTGAATACAGCACCACGAATGAGGAATTGATGAAGCTTGTAGTTACGACGCTAATGGCGGCCCGGGAAAAAGTTGCTTGTTCTTTTATTACAGGTTGTCCACGTGATTCATCGTTAGACAACAAGCCAGAAGAAATTGGTTTCATTCAAATTTAGAATAATAAAATATGCGAAGGGGGAAATTATAATTTAAAATAAACAAATAATAACTATTTATTTCTCTATATATATATATATTTAATGTTTATTAACTTTTTTGTAATATTTTTAAAATCTATGTGACCTGTCCACTCTCGGAGATAATTTGAAAAATTTTCATTAATTTTTAAAGTAATTTTTACCTTAATTATAATTTGAAATTAGCTATTAATACCAATTATTAAAATCTACGGTAAAATATTTATATAGTATAAAAGTGAAGGGTAAAAGGGTACGTAAATAATCTCCCCTGGTAGCCCTTTCATATATAGTAAGATCATAATTATGTTTATATACAACTATTACATTTGAGGGTAAAATAGGTATATATTAAAACGTGAAGGATAAAATGGGTACGTAAAGAGTTCATTTTTATTAAAAATATTCAGTTTAATTAAAAAAACGAAAAAAATTCCGTTGCCGGAAATCGAACCCGGGTCTCCTGGGTGAAAGCCAGATATCCTAACCGCTGGACGACAACAGAAGCTTTTGACCAAGCTTATGTCAGTTTATAATTGATTCTAAACAAAAGGCTACTCTGGGCTCAGCCAGCCAGCCCAATATGAAGGAGTCCATACGGCAAAATACTTGGGCCAGCCCATTTTAAATAACAGCAAAACTAGATGAATAACCGTGATTTGTTGTGACATGCGCTAATTCTCGATTCTCATTGGTCAGCTTTCGTGGTATGATTTCGAGCTGCCACGTAAGCATATTTACTGATTCGCTAAAAATCGAAGGCTCCGGATTTTTCTATTTCGTTCTGATCGGGGAAGAACCTATATTATTTCGCACCCGTCGCTTCGTCTCTCCCTCCATTTTACCATCTCCCAATTACCAAATTCCAGTTTACGAAATCATCAGTTGCAGAAACTCGGCTGGATCTGAACATGGAGATTCGTCTTTCGCCGTTCATTCTCATTATGGCGTCTTTGTTCCTTTTCCTGTTGTCGGAGGCCAAAACCATGGACCCTTACAAGGTAACGAAGATTGGTCGGAGTTTTTCTCTCATTGATACACTTTGCCATTTTTTTGTGTATCGTCATTTTATTATGTTGATGTTCGTCTTGATTTCCTCCTAATTGTTTATAACTTGAGAAATTTACATGCGTTTGGTTACGGAGTATGGAAGTTTGTGGTGGTGTTATAGAATGGCTCATCATCGTTGCGTTTTCTGAAATTGTTTTCAGGTTCTTGGAGTTGAGAGGAATGCGAGTCAGCGGGAAATTCAGAAAGCTTTCCACAAGTATCTAACTTCCCTCCAAAATTTATGTTCTTGTTCCATTTGATTCAACTTCTTTTGGTTGTGTAGCTCATGGTGGAATTTATTAATCATTGGCAGGCTTTCTCTTCAGTATCATCCAGATAAGAATAAGAAAAAAAGCGCACAACATAAGTTTGAAGAAATCAATAACGGTATGTTACTTACTTCGATCGACCATTGTATCTTTTCGCCAGGGCTTTTCTACTGCAGTTAATCTCTTTTCCCTGTCATTTCGATTTGTGGGATGAGTTTTGGTTGAATAGGGTGTACTTAATTTGAGTCATGAAGTTCAACATTGGAGAAGAAAAATAATGTTGTCCTGAATTGATATCATGTTAAAGTACTACTAAACCAACATGTCTAAATCTGCCTAGTTTTCCACCACAATTGACCTTACTTCTCCATGTTTCAGCATATGAAATTTTATCAGATGAAGAGAAGAGAAAAAATTTTGATTTGTATGGCGATGAAAAAGGTAGCCCTGGCTTTGGCCCTGGCTATTCAGGGGATCAAGGTGGTGGACATACATTCTTTACAAACGAAGGAAGAAGACAGGGTCAGCAGAACTTCAAGCCACAGTGGCAGGGTACTGGTGGACAAGGAGGTTCACAGTCTTTCTCATTTTCCTTTGGTGGACCGAGTGGTGGTTCAAATCCCTTCGGCTTTGGTATGGAGGATATATTTTCCAATTTTTTTGGAGGTGGCTTTAAGGATGAGGGTAATTTTGGTAGCCACTTTAAGGCCCAATCTGGATCTAAGAGTTCCTCAATCATCAAGGTCGTTAATAAACAAGTGTTTAAGCAAGAAGTTGTGGGCCAGGGAGTAACTTGGCTTCTGTTTCCCATCACGTCATCTCTGAAGGGAGTTGATCATGTTCAATCAATTATAGAGGATGTTGCCAGTTCGTTGCAGGGAGCTTTAAAGGTGCTATTAAGTAATCATATTTCTAAATTAAATAGTTATGGCGATTTTTCACTGTTCTCATCTTCTGTTTGACCTTTCAATTCAGGCTGGAAGGATAGATTGTGAATCAGAATCCTCTCTCTGCAAAGACCTTGGCATTTATCCTCATCGGACTCCTAGAATATTTGTCTATTCATACATAAAAAGCACCGATGGTTCTTTGGTAGAGTACAGTGGGGACGTTGCTGTGAAGAGTTTGAAAAGTTTTTGTCAAGAGCATCTTCCAAGGTTCTCACGACGGGTCGATTTGAGGCAATTTGACTTCTCTTCCAACAATGGAGGAAGATTACCCACTTTAATGCTTCTGTCAACCAAAAAGGATACACCTGTTATCTGGCGTGTCCTTAGCGGGATGTATAACAAGCAGTTCAGTTTCTATGATGCAGAGGTATATTATTACTGAGCTTGCTTGATTATCTCATTCTTGTATGAGGCTATCAGTATCCGTTGCATAATTATGTGGGTTATCTCTGTGGAGGTTCATCATTTTCATACTCTGATAGCAGATTTCTTTTTATTTTATTGCATAGGTCACGGATGTTTCAGATCCTACAATAAAGAAGTTAGGAGTCGATGCCCTTCCAGCTATAGTGGGTTGGCTATCAAATGGAGAGAGGCACGTTCTCAGAACAGGGATCAATGTGAAAGATTTGAGATCTGCCATTGATGATCTCAGTTATTTAGTTAATGGTTTTGAGAAAAAGAACAGGAAGGCAGCGTCAAAGCCAGCCTCCAAAACACAATCTGATTCTGCACAGAATCAGATCCCTCTATTGACAGGGTTCAACTTTGATTCTATCTGTGGGAAGAACACTCCTGTTTGTGTCATTGGTGCCTTCAGATCTTCTAAAGCAAGGAACAAATTGGAAATGATCCTAAACATGGTGAGAGCACTCGCATTTACGTTTTGTCTCAAGCCGCTGCACTTTGGCTTGTTGATTGCTGCTATGCTATACCTTACATTTTCTGCCCCTCTTGATTTAATGTTTCAGGTGTCTCAGAAGACATTGTCAAGGCGTCAGATCTCTGCGCCTGGCTCTAAGGAATCCATATCCTATTCTCTCGTAGATGCAACAAAACAACCATCGTTTCTTAAAGCATTTGACAGTGCTGGATTTAAATCATCTGATCAAATACTGATCGCATACAAACGTCGGAAGGAGAAATTTGCAGCACATTTGGGTGAAATGACGGAAGAAGAGGTAGAAAAATTTATCGGCTCAGTGCTTAATGGGGACATTACATTCACCAAGACCCGCCAGAAACCTGTCTTGAAGTGAAGGTCTGCCATTAACAAGTGTACTCAATTCTTGCGGTCTTATGTACATTTTATGAATATAGTTAGAATGAAGTAAAAGAAAAAAGAGTATATAGCTAAGGGAAGAAATTATTATCTGGAGAGAAATCTGTGTTGATGTCCTATTGAGGGTGCCTACATCAATGTTTGCCACCTGCATTTTGTGGGCAGAAAATCTTTTGTGTTAAAAAAAAAAAAAGAAAAAAGAAAAAAAAACATTAACCCCCGAGTAAATAATATAATTTAATATTTCTTGTATTTGGGCTCTATTATTTGTTATAGACTCTTACACCTTGGAGAATGGGCCAACTCGTTTTTGGGCTTTTAGATGTACCGGAGCTGGGTAATTCTAAAGCACGCAAGGCCCATGGGCCAAGAATTTTCCTGAAGATTCCAAAGCCCAAATTTGATGTTCGTTTGGATTATGTGGCCTCGCATGAAAAAAGAGGAATATCACATGCTCGTCACGGGACGCCCATCTCACTTCCTTCCGTTGGTATTTGAAAAATATAAATATTCTCAACTGCCTTTTGTCCTTTTCGATTTCGACCTCTTTCCCATGTACAGATCACTTGCAAAACTACTTTTATAATTTTCGGTGTTCACACTTTCTATAATTTATTAACTAAATACAAAACCAGTACAATAATATTAAGTTTTAATTTCATTTATGATTTTTCTTTTCGAAAATTAGGTAAAAGAAAAACAAATCTCTACTTCTAATATTGTTGATTGCAGGAGAAAAAAGATCCTAACTTAGTGAGAGCATTTAATTTGCATTTTTAAAATACAATTCCAAAGTCTTGGAAAATAAATATATGAACTAGAAAATAAGAAAGAAATGGTAAGTGATGGAATATTCCTTTTTTCTTTTTAATTTTTTGGTATTGGAAACTGGAAATTCCAGATTCAATAAAAGCTGTCTAACTGAGCACCTGAAAAGATGCCACCGTTTTTTCTTCTTTTTTCCATAGGAGAGAAAATTAAATCAAAAAATTAAAAAATTGGAACTTTTTAGCGGGTGACAGTGGCGCAGTTGGTTCATGACACGTGGCAAGCATGGCCGTACAAGGCAGAAGCAGAGCTAGACAACCGTTTAGCGAGTCAAATACCAGGTTACCCAAAACCGCCCAACTCCTGAAATAAAAGGGGCTTTCCAGTTGCCAATTACCACTCCCAAACCCGCCATTTGGTTTCTGTCTTTTCCCCTGGTTTTCAGTTTTCATTTATTTTGCTATTTAATCATTTTAAAACAACTTTTTTATTTTTAATTAGCCACATCACATGCTCATAACGTGAAATTATACACTTGGACCCTGGATGTGTTGTTTCACACGCTCATCTGGTATATTTAAATTTCTCTTAATTTCACTCTTTTTTTCTTTAAATAATACATG